GAAGGTCGCCGCAAGGCGCAGTAACGACCAGGCACAGGCTTTTTTGGCGCGCAAATGGCCTGTAGCAGCTGAGATCAGCCTATATAAACACCTGTTGCCACCGCAGCATCCGCCTTTCTTGGCGCTTCATCTCAGGCAATTAACCTCTCCCAATTCCTATAGTCAGACCAGGGTGCATCATTGTCGCATCACAACAACACACCGAACCGCGATAAGTCTGCAATTGCCTCACAAATCGCTACACACACACCATGACCTTCCACAGCCTGGTCAACAAAGTCGCGGGCCAGCCGCCCTCGTACAACAAGAAGGCCGACTACAAGTTTGGCAAGACGCTTGGAGCAGGCACCTTTGGTATTGTCAAGTACGCCAAGCAGCACTCCACCGGCGATGAGGTGGCTGTGAAGATCATTGTCAAGAAGAACCTCAAGGGCAACGACCACGTTGTCATTGAGGAGCTCTCGCTGCTCAAGGAGTGCCACCATCCCCACATCATCGCCTTCAAGGACTGGTTCGAGAGCAAGGAGAAGTTCTACATTGTCACGCAGCTGGCGACCGGAGGCGAGCTCTTCGACCGCATCTGCGACTACGGCAAGTTCACCGAGAAGGACGCGCGCCAGTCCGTCCAGGACATTCTCGAGGCCGTGGACTACCTGCACCAGAAGGACATTGTGCACCGCGATCTCAAGCCCGAGAACCTGCTGTTTGTGACTCCTGATCCGCACGCGTCGCTCGTGCTGACGGACTTTGGCATCGCCAAGCACCTCAAGTCGCCCGACGAGGTGCTGCACTCCATGGCCGGGTCTTTTGGCTACGCAGCTCCCGAGGTGCTCAAGGGAACTGGACACGGTAAGCCCTGCGACATCTGGTCTCTGGGAGTCATCACGTTCACGATTCTGTCCGGCTACTCGCCGTTCCGCTCCGAGACCGTGCGCGACTTCCTGGAGGAGATCGAGGGCCCCAACGCGCTGGTGTTCCACAAGAAGTACTGGCAGGACGTGTCCGAGGACGCAAAGGACTTCATCAAGTCGTGCCTGGCCCTGGATCCCGCGCTCAGACCGACCTCCGCCGAGCTGCTGAAGCACGAGTGGATCACGGGCGACTCCTCCAAGTCCATCGATCTGCTGCCCAGCATCCGCGAGGGCTTCAACGCGCGGTCCAAGTTCAGACAGGCCATCGAGGCCGTCCGCCTGCACAACCGAATCAAGTCGCTCAACCTGGTCGACTCCGACGACGAGGACGAAGACGAGGAGGCCGCGACAGAAGGCGACAAGCCCTCGTTCCTGTCTGTAGCCAACAGCGTGCGTCCCCGAGCACATTCGCGGTCCAAGAGCGGCACTGGCGCAGCAGCATTCCAGGAGGTGGTGCTGGCGGCCAAGAGAAACAAGGAGCTGCTGGAGAAGGAGAAGGAGAGCAAACAGGACGCTGAGTGATTGACTATAACGAAGTACAGAATAATGTGATTGTTTATTGTAATTATGGAATGTTAGCTAAGTGTTTGACTGGAATAACTGCGATAGTCTGTTGGTGAAGGATCGGTAAGCGCTTACGCGCGGAGACTCGGGTTTATCGTTGTCTTCAGAGTCCTTTCTTGCCTTCTTTTCCCCGTTGGCATGGTCTATGCCTTCCACCAGATCCGGCGACTGCTTAGCACTTTCCACGGCAGACTTCTCGCCAGTCGAAACCTGATCAATTGATCTTTTGCCAGAACTCTCGGTAGTACTCTCCGCTGGAGACTTGGCTGAAGACGGGCCTGCAACAGGCGTTTCCAAAGCAGTCTTTTTCGCAGAATCGACAGGCGTTTTACTGCTCTCAACCTTAGGTTTCTTCTGAACGGGGTCACGGCTCTTGTCCCCAGCAGGTGTCTCCGGGGTAACACGCTTTCGAGCTGACGGTGTAGTGCCGGTACTCGGTGTCTGAACCTGACTTCCTACCTGAACACTAGGCTTCGTCGGGACATTCTGCTCAGGGGCTTCGTCGACAACGGGGGTAGCGGGAGGGTCTGATTGAGATGCTGTCGTACCATGTTTGCTGATGGGAGCATCCGCTACAGGCCTCGTTATCGGGCGAGTGCTTGGTGAGGCCTTTGCAGTAAGTTTTTCAGCAGTGGCAGTGTTCGGAGAAGACGCTGTCTTCGCAACAGTGGCGCTCTTCCTGGTAGAAGCGCTCTTATCAGAAGTCGGCTTATCAACGCTGCTCTTGGGAGAATCCTGTGAAAGAGGGGCTTTCTTAGGGGCGCTCTTGCTTGTAGCAGCGGCGCTTGCAGGACGGCGCGTCTTGGGAGAGGGGTTCGTAGCTGTGGTGTTGGAAGAAGAGGCCTGTGAAGTAGAAGCCTGGACAAGAGTTGACTTCGCAGGAGTTGACTTCGCAGGAGTTGGTTTCGCAGGAGTTGGTTTCGCAGGAGTTGGTTTCGCAGGAGTTGGTTTCGCAGAAGTTGGTTGTTTGGGAGTGGGTCTTCTGGAGGGTGCCGGGGAAGCTCCCACAGCAGTCTTCAGAACCGGCTTCTCAGGAGTTCGTTTAGCAGGCTCAGCCTTCTTCTCGGGAGAGACCTTCACAGGAGACGCTCTCGTTGAAGTAGACTTGGTGGAGGACTGTGGTCCAGCGGATTTACCGCTTCTGACATGAGATGGTTTCCCACGAGTTTCAGCACCACTCTTCTTGGTACTAGAGGCAGCATCTTGTTTCGGTGGTGGTGACATAAGCGCTGCAGGACCTTGCAATACGCCCAGCTCCTTTGATCGGCTTGCCTGTGCTCCATTTCCAGCAACCTTTGAGGTGGGAGCTGCTCTGAACAGTGTTTCAAGGTATTTGATGAGACGAACACATTGCGTTCCCATACCCACTTTAAATTCTGCTTCCGACGAAAGATTGTGCAAGAAGTAACTCGAAGAGCCAATCAGCATGGAATCAAGCCGCTCCTGTGTATAGTCCTCCACTTGAGAAATGCCGTCATTATTGATTCCCATACCGTCGGCTTCAATATCCAAGTAAGGCGTGACGTAGATGCAACCCCAACTTTTCGGGCCCATCAAAGAAACGGCAACCTCTTTACTGGGGACCACGTATTTCAGCTGACATAAGTCAGGGTCCACTTCATTGCAGCCATCAAAGTATCCACGCGGCTGAAATGTGGAGAACTTTCTCTGTAGCCGTTCTGCGAAAGATGTCATAAAGACACACTCCCAGGCGGCCTGGGTCCCACGAGAGGCGTAAAATGCCAGTGTGGAATCACCCTTGAGTCTCTTGAAATCCTCCTTAAGTCTGTCTGTGACCTCCAAGAGAGATGTGGCGAGAAACGTGGGCAGACTACCCTTGCTGTCAGCAGGAGTCATATAAATGCAAAAGTGTGTGGCCCCTGGGGGCAATCCTGTGATAGATTCCTGCAGAACCGTTGCCAGAGACGCGCTCTTGTCTTTATCTTCCCAGGGGTTGATGCAGATCATAAACTCGGGCTGGCCATGTTTTTGCAAGAACTCGTCGATGGATCTTCGTGTGTATCGACTCATGGACTCCAGACCCTCCTGATCACGCTGGAAAGGCGACGAGTATGCGAGTGCTCCCGTGATCCCATCGAGGAACAAAACCGTGTACAGCCCTCGGGCCTCTCCATCTGGCAGCCTGTAGAGCGCAAAGTAGACTACTCCAGACGTCAGATCGGAATGCCTCCAAAACTCGTTATTCTGCAGACGTTCAAAGACGCTGCGCCAAAGATCCATGCGTTTGTGGGCAAGCGCCATGATGCTGGGGGTGCTCTTTCGGTCTCGATCCTGAAGAATGTCGATATGCATTGCGGGAATGCTCCAAGCGATGACCTGTCGTACCAAGTCCTCGGTGATTCCGTTGATGTGAAACGTGTTGAAGAGCTCCGCCATGATCTCAGTCACGTCTGTCGAGTAGTCCAGCAGAACGTGTGTTGCCAGAATCACCCAGGGAATGGCATCCCGGTCCAGTGTGCGAACATCCATATCGATCTCCTGCGTTCCAAAAATCAACATCTTATAGGTCCGGCCCATTTTGTCGACGAGAATGCGAATATCACCTTTGGTCGTCTCCATCAGCTTGGTAGACCAGTTGTCGAAGAGGGTGATGTATCGTTGGTGTTGATCCAACTGCCTGGGAAGCCTGACGGCCTTGTAGCACAGCTCAGAGAGGACGTCCATGGCTTCGCATGGGTTTGTCGCACGTGTGAAGCCCACCACTGTGGAGTTGAAGATGGAGAGATGCATGCCCACAGCTTAATTGCACTTTAAAAAGGTGAAGACGCTACCTTCAGAGAAGCCAGTGCTACGAAGTAATTGATATAGTAGATATATAAAATGTCATAAACACCACCACTGGATAAATATCACGTTTATTCATATCAAATGCACTCCACTATTTACACGAGTCTCATACCATGGTCAATGCAGTTACTGCAGCTCAGGCCGGCACTTGATGTACTTGTCCAGATCCTCCTTGACCACCACTCCCAGCACAAACTGCTTGCTGCCGTCAGTCACCACCGCAAAAGGCTGGCCCGACTCGAAGAAAGCCTCCAGCTCCTCCAGAGGTGTCGCGGGAGTGATGGGCTTAAAAGGCCGAGAAGCGTCCTTGTAGAACTTGTTGTAGACGCTGGCAACGGGCACAGAGCCGTCCAGACTGGACCGCGAGCTCTGCTGACGCAATTGGTCGGCCGTCAGGTAGCCCAGAAGCGCTCTGTTCTTGCCCGAAATGACAGGAAGGTACGAGTACTCCTTCTCGTACGACAGCTCCAGAGCCTCGATCAGAGAAGTCTGCGGAGTGACAGAGAAGGCCGGGGGGAACTCGAGGTCCTCAACGGTCGCCTGGGTTAGCTTTGGAGCATGAAAATAAAGTCGGTGGGGTACTCACGCCTCTGTAATTGTGCTGGGGGGCCATTTTGTGCGATTGTTGTGTGTTCAAGACGTCACTCGGTGCGGTCAAACGAGAGTGATAAAACCTTATTCGGGAAAGTGGAACCAAAAATATAAAATAATAGTAAGCACCCGGGGTGGGACTCGAACCCACAATCTTTGGATTAGAAGTCCAACGCGTTAACCATTGCGCTACTCGGGCTGGGCACTAAATTTTTCGAAAAAAACTTGTAGCATAAAAGTTGCGCAGCTCACGTGACCTCGGAATTTCCAAACTGGAATTTAGAGCTTTCAATGGTGAATTTAGCAAATAGGAGACTTGCAGAAGGGAACCAAGAGCTCAAAAATTGTGATGAATAAAAAACCACCACAATAGGATCAACAGAACCGCCCCAATATCAATAATATCGAAGCCATGCATTAAGTTTCGAGGTTGTCTAAATTCAGAAATTGGCCATGTGATAGTAAATAGAGATGTTTAGTATTCGGTAGACCGCCAGGAAAATGAAATTCAACAGTTTATCCGAGAGCCGCGTCACTGTAAATTTCTTTTAACAAAATAAGCAGGTGTGGCCATGTGGTTCTGGAAGAAGGTAAAAGCGAAGGGACGGCGACAAGCTCAGCTTTGTTTTCGACAGCCTCTCAATAAGAACCATTGCTTTTTCTAATTAGCGAGTCTCGAGCTATTTTCAAACGGTCGATTTTCTTCATTTTCTAGTGAATTTCAGCCGAGATCTGGGCCCAGGCAACCAATCCGAAAGCCTTCGTAGTGGTAAGGCGCAGCACTAGTAATGCTGAGATCACTAGTTCAAGTCTGGTTGAAGGCAAGGCATGGGTAACGACACGAGACTGGTCTCTGTCAACCTTTATTTTTTCCCTCTTATGTCCGTAATTTCCGTGGCTGTGCTATATCCCGCGTTACGAAAAAGCTTTGCCGATCGCAATGGCTCGCTTATTCTTGCATTGGACCGATTAGTTGTTTTAGAGGAACTAGGCTCTACGACAGCGGCCAGAAGGAGATAACGAAGACGTATTTGAAGTCGTAGATGCCAGGTTTGTGGTGGGTTTTTGTATACAAATACAAACGGTGCTGTATGTAGGTACGAGCTCGTATGTATGCTGCCTCCTGATACCGTACATGCGGATCTTCAGAGAGGGTGTCGGCGAGACAAGGAGGTTGCGAGGCCCTAAAATAGCACTATAGCGACTACACCGCTATTACCTCGCCTTTTCTGACCTCGAAATGACGGAGATCCGAAAAATCTACCGGCACACAAGGAAGACTTAACCTTGAGCGAATCGTCTGACTTTTGAGTCACAGGATAGTCTTCAGCCTTACGGTTTGGATGCAGATAATCTCTCATCTGGGCTCGCTTGCAAGGGCCTGGTGCCAAGCATACGAGCCCACAGAGATTCAACGTAGTTTTTTTTTTGCAGCCGTTTTAGCTCCGCGGCTGTCTCAGATGCTTTGCCCGGAAATGCAGGGCCGACCCAATTATGTCTCCGAGTCGAGAAACGTGCTACGGACTTAAGACAGCCTCCGCACCCGTTTCTGTACTTGTCCCATCGCTAATGCCTCGATAATGCAAAAACGTTTTTTCTTGGCTGCTTGGGTGCATGCCGTTGGGAATGGGATAACTAGGACAAGAAATTGCGGACTATGGCGTCGTCCAAAATCTGGAAAAGATATTTTCGGGCTGTATACACTCGTCGCCCGCATCGTATAGCCTGTATAATTACCCTTTGCCAGCCGTACTGGTAAGACAAGCGTGAAAAGTGTAATTGCATGTGCACATCACCCCACAAGGGCTCAGTGGGTCTCATGGTAGCACCCTTTGATCTCTAGCTAGTCTAAAAATGCCGCACTAGACCTCGCTGAAGCCAATTCCCTGACGTTAAACGGCTTTAGTAGGGTCACACGGCCATTGCAAAGCCTGGGCGGGGCCTATATAGCTGGGGGTGGTTTCCCCTGGCAAAAAGTCTTCACCACCCTCAATTGGACACACAAACACACACACACACACACAAACATGGTACCTCTTCTCTACCTTGCCCTGCGATGCCCCACCACCGCCTCCGAGGGCCGTCTCAGATTCGCCTACAGAAACCGATGCGTTGAGCTTCTGCAGTCCCCCCAAGGACGGGAAACTTTCGACTGCATGTCCTACGCCTACCAGATTCTCATCAGCGCGCCTCTGAGAGAGGCCTACGACGAGAACGACGAGCGGGACAGCGTCGAGTTCCTCACCGAGCTCGTCGAGCAGAATGGCGGCGTTGTGGAGCCCACCGAGTACTTTATGCAGCAGTGGGGTCTTCTTGGAGCAGACCGATCGGAGGAGGCCTTCATCTTCAACAAGTTCTCCGAGCAGAAGGCCTGGGAACTTGAGCAGAACTACCTGCCCACCGCCGACACCGGCATCTTCAAGCGGGTCTTCCCCACCAAGCATGTTCCTGCCGTGGAGCTGCATCTCATCAAGCTGATGGATCCCTCCTTCCTGGGCTCGGTCATCGCCTCCAGCGAGAGCCTGCATTCCTTCTTCGAGGAGTCCAAGGTCGACTTCTCGGCACCCTTCGCCGCGGAGTTCCTCTACCTGCTCCAGAACGAACTGACCGAGACTCTGCATCCTCCTCCCCATACCAAGGAGGTTGGCATCAAGCACCTTCACGTCAACGTCCCCAAGAAGAAGGAGAAGGTCAAGGCCCCCGAGCTGCACTACTACTCCGCCGCCAAGCGAGCCGAGCTGGCCGAGACCTGGTTCCTCAAGCAGTGCCAGAACAGAAATGTCCCCAAGACCACCTACATGCACATTCTCTACTACGTGGTGGCCTGCGAGCTTCTCGGCAAGCTGGCTGCGCAGTTTCACAACGCCGTGCAGTCCCATATCGGCCAGTCGGACCGTCTGGATGCTCTGCTGTCGGAGCTCAAGGCCAAGACCAGCGAGTGGATCGAGGACGACGCCAACGCCTTCTCCGAGAACATTGCCCGCACCGGCGAGAACGAGTACAACCAGAACTTCTTCATCGAATCGGCGTACAACGGCTTCACTTACACGGAGACTGCGCACGTGCCATTGCACGAGAGTCTCAGACTGTCCGAGTACAAGTGCGAGCGAGGCAACGGCATGTGGACCGAGCGGGGCTTCTTCAAGGACCTCGAGTTCCCCTTCCGAAACGAGTACTACCGCCTGTGGTAGACACACGCGATTCTTCTTCTTCTTTATTCTTGTTTTTAGTGAATGGTTTTCAGTATTTGTACATGTGAATGATTTTTAGTACTTATACGATGGTGAATGTACCTTTAGCATCTCGTAGAACAGTAACATCTGCAAGACAGTAGCTACGATATAGTAAAGATGGCTCCGTTAGATACCCGAAATCCTCGAACAATCAGGAAACATCTCCTGATCAATCGAAACAAACAGCCGGCTTCTGCTCAACCGGCTTCTGCTCTACCGGCTTCTGCTCGGAACCTCATCATCAAAGTAAATCTCAAATGCCTGCAGAAGGAAAGATCAACCCAAAAACCCGATAAGCAAGATCGTCTTGGAATGCGGGGCTGAACGAGTGGAATGCGTCATGATCCCTTGTCTGGGTGGGGGTCTTGTGGGGAAGCGAGTGGATCCATTTACAGGTCATACGAGCCTTTTTCACGAAAAAATCAAAAAAATCAAAAGACAATAACAAACCCACACCACACTCACCTCTCAGCTGTCAAATTTTACCGCCAAACCGCCAAACGTCTCTTGACAGGCCGCTTAGACTTCGGGGCTATCTAGGTTTGACCCTAAGAAGCTTATCAATGAGCTTGAGCTAATGGTGAGGCTTCGCGGCTATCTGTGCAGCAGACGTGCGCGTTTGTTGGCCTGTTTGGACGCTCTCGACACGTGTGGACGCGAAATGGGGCTTGTTCGAGGTCACGTGACCGTGTATTCTTGCCTTACGCGAGCCTAAAACCCTCGCCTAACACAGTTTGATAATCTTATTATCTCGCTAAGGGCTCACCCTCACGCCAAGCCCCGAAGTTCACTCTGACAAGATGCTGCATGGACACTCGATAAGCCAGTAGCAGACCGCATAGATAATGGACGGCGGTTAAACGCGCAAGATTATCGAGGAGGGGCGAGATCGATCTTATATATACTCGGCGAGACCATGATCTCCACAACATCAACACATGAGATTCATTCCCAGAGTACGCCACGTCGAAGACGATCTGGCAGTCGAGGCCGTGACCGATGAGCAGGAGCTCGTCATGGAGTACCGCGACGAAACCAACCGGCCGTGGTGGAAGTTTTTTGACGAGTACGAATACCGGCAGAACAAGTACGAAAAGTCGGGCCACAAGTGGTTCAAGTGGTTTGACGAACGAGACTCCAAGGAGGACAAGAAACTGATTCTCAAGCTCGATCTGCTTCTCACATGCTACTCGCTGGCGGTATACTGGGTCAAGTACCTGGATCAGACCAACGTCAACAATGCCTACGTTAGCGGCATGCGAGAAGATCTGGGTTTCAAGGGCAACGATCTGGTCAACGTCCAGGCCATGTATCTTGTTGGAGCAGTCGTTTTCCAGCTTCCCTTCATGTTCATGCTTCCCAAGGTGCCTCTGAACATTGTCATTCCCGTCATGGACCTCTGCTGGGGCCTCATGACTCTGCTCTGCTGCAAGATCCACTCGGTCGCAGCTCTCAAGGTGATTCGTTTCTTCGTTGGCGTCTTCGAGTCCGGCTTTGTGCCCACGGCGTACTTCCTCATGGGCTCGTGGTACAAGCCCTCGGAGGTTGCCCGTCGAGCAGGCTTCTTCTACATGGGCCAGTTTCTGGGTCTGCTGAGTTCGGGTCTGCTCGCCTCTGCTGCTCTTGATCTGCACGGCGTAGGCGGCTTTGAGGGCTGGAGATGGGTTTTTATAGTCGACGCCATTGCGACTCTTCCTCTGGCAGTCCTTGGCTTCTTTGTGATCCCCGGAACACCCGACAAGTGCGTGTCTCTGTTCCTCTCCGACGACGAGATCCGCAGATGTCGTCTGCGCATGAAGCCGTACGCCAACGAAGCGACGACGCGCGAAAAGAAGCCGTTCTTCTCGCTAGCCCTGTGGAAGCCGCTGGTGACAACGTGGAGAATGCCCCTGCTCGTGCTGGTCGCCTGCATCTTCTTCAACAACAACAGCGGCAACTCGGGCTCCTTCATTCTGTGGCTCAAGAG